TCCAATGTATTTTCTATTTTTAATAGACTTTAAAAAAAGAAGGAGGTTCTCAACTCATCGGAATATATTTTTTATGTATATTCAGCGATAATTATTTACTACGTTGTCCAATTTCGAAATCTTTTTTGTTAGAAAGGGAATACCTCAGGGATAATTTTATTTAAATTTGGTAAAAATCCAAAATTTCTTTTATAACTTGTACATTTTTCATTATATTAAAGTAAAAAATGTTAAAATTGGAAAATTACTGAAGTTCAGTATCTATTTTTTAGCAAGTTCTGAAAAACTGACAAAGGGATGGTGAAATATAAATAGTATGAGAAATGCACATTTAATCTATTCTTGAAAATCAGATAGAGTTCCTTTTTGAATCCCTTTAATTTGGTTGCTGTTTGTTTGCTAATAAACTAATTTTTTATTCAAGAATAACTTTCTATTTGTACAATATTGCAATTTCTATATTATTCAGGTGGCAGTTTATTTGAATTTAATTTTAGTTCCAACTAAATAATAAAACTATATATGATGAACTAAGATTTGGTAGATAGATTTTAAAAAATCAGAGCAGTTCCTGTTGCTAATATCAATAAAAATAATCAAAATAAAAGTTTGTCGTCTGTCGTCTGTCGTCTGTCGTCTGTCGTCTGTCGTCTGTCGTCTGTCGTCTGTCGTCTGTCGTCTGTCGTCTGTCGTCTGTCGTCTGTCGTCTGTCGTCTGTCGTCTGTCGTCTGTCGTCTGTCGTCTGTCGTCTGTCGTCTGTCGTCTGTCGTCTGTCGTCTGTCGTCTGTCGTCTGTCGTCTGTCGTCTGTCGTCTGTCGTCTGTCGTCTGTCGTCTGTCGTCTGTCGTCTGTCGTCTGTCGTCTGTCGTCTGTCGTCTGTCGTCTGTCGTCTGTCGTCTGTCGTCTGTCGTCTGTCGTCTGTCGTCTGTCGTCTGTCGTCTGTCGTCTGTCGTCTGTCGTCTGTCGTCTGTCGTCTGTCGTCTGTCGTCTGTCGTCTGTCGTCTGTCGTCTGTCGTCTGTCGTCTGTCGTCTGTCGTCTGTCGTCTGTCGTCTGTCGTCTGTCGTCTGTCGTCTGTCGTCTGTCGTCTGTCGTCTGTCGTCTGTCGTCTGTCGTCTGTCGTCTGTCGTCTGTCGTCTGTCGTCTGTCGTCTGTCGTCTGTCGTCTGTCGTCTGTCGTCTGTCGTCTGTCGTCTGTCGTCTGTCGTCTGTCGTCTGTCGTCTGTCGTCTGTCGTCTGTCGTCTGTCGTCTGTCGTCTGTCGTCTGTCGTCTGTCGTCTGTCGTCTGTCGTCTGTCGTCTGTCGTCTGTCGTCTGTCGTCTGTCGTCTGTCGTCTGTCGTCTGTCGTCTGTCGTCTGTCGTCTGTCGTCTGTCGTCTGTCGTCTGTCGTCTGTCGTCTGTCGTCTGTCGTCTGTCGTCTGTCGTCTGTCGTCTGTCGTCTGTCGTCTGTCGTCTGTCGTCTGTCGTCTGTCGTCTGTCGTCTGTCGTCTGTCGTCTGTCGTCTGTCGTCTGTCGTCTGTCGTCTGTCGTCTGTCGTCTGTCGTCTGTCGTCTGTCGTCTGTCGTCTGTCGTCTGTCGTCTGTCGTCTGTCGTCTGTCGTCTGTCGTCTGTCGTCTGTCGTCTGTCGTCTGTCGTCTGTCGTCTGTCGTCTGTCGTCTGTCGTCTGTCGTCTGTCGTCTGTCGTCTGTCGTCTGTCGTCTGTCGTCTGTCGTCTGTCGTCTGTCGTCTGTCGTCTGTCGTCTGTCGTCTGTCGTCTGTCGTCTGTCGTCTGTCGTCTGTCGTCTGTCGTCTGTCGTCTGTCGTCTGTCGTCTGTCGTCTGTCGTCTGTCGTCTGTCGTCTGTCGTCTGTCGTCTGTCGTCTGTCGTCTGTCGTCTGTCGTCTGTCGTCTGTCGTCTGTCGTCTGTCGTCTGTCGTCTGTCGTCTGTCGTCTGTCGTCTGTCGTCTGTCGTCTGTCGTCTGTCGTCTGTCGTCTGTCGTCTGTCGTCTGTCGTCTGTCGTCTGTCGTCTGTCGTCTGTCGTCTGTTGTCTGTCGTCTGTCGTCTGTCGTCTGTCGTCTGTCGTCTGTCGTCTGTCGTCTGTCGTCTGTCGTCTGTCGTCTGTCGTCTGTCGTCTGTCGTCTGTCGTCTGTCGTCTGTCGTCTGTCGTCTGTCGTCTGTCGTCTGTCGTCTGTCGTCTGTCGTCTGTCGTCTGTCGTCTGTCGTCTGTCGTCTGTCGTCTGTCGTCTGTCGTCTGTCGTCTGTCGTCTGTCGTCTGTCGTCTGTCGTCTGTCGTCTGTCGTCTGTCGTCTGTCGTCTGTCGTCTGTCGTTTTTATATAAATAGCCGCGATTTTGTCGATAGAAAAGAAGATTCAATTTAAGTATTGGAAAAATAGATTGTAATTGTGTTTTAAATAAATATACTTTAAATAAATTAAACAAACGTTACACTATTATTAATATTAATTATAGTTAGAACAGCAAATCATAAATTAGTCATTACGATTTTTATTCTTTACATTATTTATAATAATGATGAATTTGGTAAGAAAAATGGTGCATGAAACTAAATTAACAATAAACATAAAATTTATGTTTCTGGTAAAAAAGTTTTTATATTGTATGTGTAAAATTAAAAAGAGCCTAATTAATTAATCTAAAAGGAGTTCAATTTTCTTAATCTTAGTGAAAAGTTAAAATTAAACATTGTGTGCGATGAACCAAATCATAAATATAACTTAACATAAAAAGGATACGTACGCCCATGTCAATGCCAATTTTAGGGTAAAAAACAACTAATGTATTAATTAAAATTTGACGTAAAATACATATTACTTACACCTATAAAATGAATGGCGTTACGATAATTTACTTACCGAATAAAACTCATAATCAAAAAAGTCGTTTTTAGCACAACTAACAACAACTAACCATTGCATTTATCACTATATTTATTGGACTAAGATTATGTAATATTAAATTAAAATTGGATTTTATATATTAACTATTCTGTTATTGGCTAAAAATACTTCAACAACTAATAACTTGAAAAATATAATACAAATACTAACTTTTGAATGACACATAAACAATAAAAAAATCATAAATTGTTAACTTAAATGGCCAACTTTGTCACCTACGTTTCCTATTGGAAATATGACACACACTCCTTCCTTACTACTTTATATTCAAACGTTTAAACCAAGAGCCTGTAAGGCTGCTTGGCTGCCTAAGAGAATTAGGATGGTTTATTTATTTGTATTTATTTCTATTACCAATAAGGAACCATTTACCTTATTTGTAATTCTGGTGTTTTATATTTGCCAGTAAGTTCCAGTTGTTTAAGACCAGCCTGTATGCAGCACCCACCTTTTTATCTAGGTAAAGGGTTGGGAGATTTAGAATATTTTCTCAAACAAAACCCGTCCAAAATTATTGAGCCAACTCCAGATAGGAAGCGTGTCAATAAAAACCCTATTAGTAAGTATATAAACATGTCTCAACATAAAATATTTCCATTTTTATTGTTAACTTCTTCAGGAATGAAGAGAATGCTGTGATGAACTACAAACATCTCCAGGGATACACATATTTTTTTGTAACAACGCCTCTGTAGTTGCCTCTAATGGAACGGTTCTTACGCTTACACCTCTCTGGTAAGTCTAATTTTTCAACTACTTGGATTCTGTCAAAATCAAATCGATATATTTTTTGCGAATAATATTGTAAATTGCCGGACACTTTGAGAGATCAAGAAAAACATCTTACAAAAGTAGATGTAGGGAAAACACTTTTACATTAAAATTTTCTGTGGAAGTAACACGTCCGACATGAACGGACGCCGAAGAAATTCGAAACACGCCCTATTTTGATTGTGTTCTATTATAGGAGTTATGCAAGTCGATCAATCAAGATCTTTACACAATGACAGACCCTCCGATATATTTAAAATACGTAAAGGAAAGTGGCGTGTGGAAGGGTGTAAAGCAATTTTCCTTATGATGAGGAGAAAAAACGATTTTTCGAAACATTCTGGCAAGAAAGAGCTTTTCTTTGTAACTACGCGCGAAAATGCGTTTTAGGAGATGTGGATAATATCCATGGTTTACAGGGTAAAGCGGGTGAAGCTCTGCATTTACTTACTAATATTTAATTTATGATAATTTTCTTATAAATTTAAATAAATCTTATTTCTGCTTAACAGCTGAAAGTATAAAAAAAGTCATTATAAAAATTAAAACAGAAACAGAAAGATGTTACCGTAAAATATAATTAGTAATAATTGAATAGAATACATTTATTGACCACCTATACATACATTATTATCTGTACATTTAAGTCCTAATACAAAAATAAAATTATAAAATCTAGATATTATATTACAAGAACTCCGCAACAGTGTAGAAATATTGTTCGGCAAAAAATAATTTTACAAATTTATAAAATTTGTTTACAGACATGTTTTTGATGTGCTTATCTTTGATTAAGGATATCTTATTTCTGTGGTTACAAGGCAGAAACTAATATGTCATTTTTTTCTAGAAAAGACATTTTATTGCCGATTTGTTTATAAAGATGTATTCCTTGTTGTGGCATGAGCTGATACTTCTAAAATTTTGTTACGAATAAATATAACACCCTGTGAATAGGTATGTTATGATTTGTAAAGTGTTGTCCAAGGGCAGGCGCCCTAAACAAATATTCAATAAAATAATAAAACGTGTAGTTGGACAAGGTTTTATTAAATCATAATAATAAAGTACAGGGTCAAGAAAGATCAACAAGCGTACTCTTGAAAGATTACAAGTGAATATTCGGGGAGTTCCTTTTGGTCTTCGTGGACAAGCGGTCGAAATTATTCGAATTAAGTAGGTTCCTTTTTTTGTGTCCAAAAGTAGAGTCACGGGTCGCGATTACTTTTTTTGTAGAACCATAGTGCTAAAAGTAATGTGTAATGTTAAAAACTATACTACTTTTAAATCTCGTTTGTCGTGTTTTTAATTTATACTGAATAATATTAATTATAGGAAGGACATATGGAAACCTAGAACCAGTTGACCTATGTATATCACAAAATACCGACGAAGATACCGACGACTCTATAGCTGACAGTGACGTTGATCCAAATTTTGAAGAAGATGACTCATCTAATAACGATTCTCATTTGAATTTTGAACCAACTTCAAAATGCAGACGGGCGACAGTTGGTACAATAGGCATTGATACTCAGAATAAACGTGGTACAGAGATTGAGAATAAACCTGACGAAAATAAAGACAATGTCTTGCTGCCTATTGCTAGTAGGAATATGTTTTTTTTTTATTTTGACAAGGGGGGTAAACAATTTTATGAACTTTTAACTGATGGAGGTAATCGGAAGATAAATAGAAAAATGAAACGAGAACTGAAAATACATGGACTAGAATACGTGAGTAGAAAAAAACTATATTAGCAAAAGAATGCAGTATTATTGAAATATGTTGCCAAGCAAAATGCCATAATTTCTGTCCACCTACCACTTAAGTAGAACCATTTGGATTTTTTAATAAATTAACAAATTAAGTACAGGAACAGATTATTTTCAATGGAATCTCATTGGTCAAAAAGGAAACGAAATGGAAAGTACGCTCTAAAGCAGGAAGAGAACATTTTAGAGATATAAAGGCTATATACCAAATGAAAATTGATAACAAACTTGTTAAATTTTGTAAAAAAATGTTTCAGTGTGTTTATAAACTTTCTAGGGGAAAAATTGATGTTCTTGTCATGACAGTGGAGGCCTGCGAATTGACCGTTATTGCCTCTTGGAGAAATGCGTGGGCGTCACGAGCCAAAAAACAAAATAAGAAAACAACGTGAAGCAATGAGAGAACACAGATAAATATCCAAAGTATGACAGTTATTACACTCAGAGAGATACCATTAAAAAATATTTCATATTAAAATGTTTAAACCCACTTTATTAGTTATGAGCTCATTCGTTTTTCCTCTCTATTTTTAGACCTTACCTGATGATGAGGATCTGATCCTCGAAACCGGTCGTAATAAAATACTCTTGTGAGATCCTAAGGACCACCCTCGTTTGATTTACCTTTTTGAAAGAGAGTTGTATTCGCGATGTAACAGAATTGTACTCGTTTTTGATTTACAGCAAGTTCTTGATACCCCATCACTGACAGCTAACATATTTTAAAAACGCCTTTTGTCAACCTATATCCTGACAATACGTGACTGCTCTTAAGAAGGCGGTACAGAGTGTTACATGTGGCATGAGGCAATTGGTGGAAGAAATTTTGAGCAAATAGCATCCTGTTCATTTATAAGCTTCATTATATTGCTGATTTAGTTTTGCATGTGATTACATATTCAGTTACATGTTGTGGTCAGAATAAAAATATAAACATGGCTATTATGTTTGGCTACGTTGCAACTTCTCATAAAAATATTTCTATTATTAACCAGAAATTTCTTCTTCCTGGACATACTCATTTTGAGTGTGATGCAGACCATGCTAGAATTGAAAGAGCGAAGAAATCCTATAACGTTTTAATAATGGTCCTTAGAGATTGGTACACATTTGTGGCATCAGTCAGAGACAAAAAGCCTTTCACAGTTGAAAAAATTGCTCAAAAAGACTTTATTTCCTTTTCTAAGTTTTTAACAACTCATTTGGTTAAAAGAAATTTAGATACAGAAAACGAAAAGGTTAATTGGCTACACATAGGATGGCTGCGATATGAGTTTGGAATTATAAAATTCAAACGTTCTCTTTAAGAGGACAAGCCAGTCAGAATTTTAAATTTACGGCTTACATAACAGTCAAGTTCAAACAGATTGGGGAAGAAACCTCAGTTGGATAATAATGACTTGAGGCTACCTAGTTGTTGCTACAATGGACCAGTCCCAATAAATACCTTTAACAAGAAAGATTTGATTAGTCTTATCAAAGAGAAACTCTTTGATGAAGATTGCCACGATTTTTACTATAATCTGCAGACATCTAAGGAGGCACCTGAGTTGTCATTTTTGGACGATGATAGTGACCCAAACAAAGAAGACCAGTAGTATACTTTGTATTTTTTAAGGTAAGAATATTTGAATATGTTTAATGTGTCCAATTAAAATAAACTATATTTTTCTTAATTTTTATTGATTTGTTTTCTTTGTTATGTCTGAAATATACCTGAAAATATATAATGGCAAAACTTGATATGTCATTAATTTTTATAAAAAAATTAAATAATAATCAAGTATCAGTCAGGACTTTCCACCTTCCAGTTCAAATAATAGCTCTACAAAAAAACACAACAAATAAACTTTGCAGAGTGTTGCTAAGCTTTATATCATTCTATATCATTAATCTTTAAACTGGCTCTCCTGTAAAATTAGCAAAAAGTGACATCAGTTTCTGCCTTGTCACCACAGATTTATTATACAATCTAACATCGATTTTATTATGTTGGGTTGTGATAATTCTACAATATAAAGTTACAAGAATATCCGCTCCCCTAGTATTATATCTATGCAGATCAGAATGTCTAGTGATGGTAGGCAGATTTTTATGTATCTGCACCAAAGACTCAAATAGATAAATACAGGGAAGTGAGAGAATCTTGTACTTTTTAAATACCTACTTCACGGCAATGGGCGCGACACTCTGCAGCATCAACAATGTGCACGGCCGCCTTTTGAATTGAGAAGCCTTTATGCCAATTTTTAAAGAAAGGTTAACAGAGTGGGGAAACTGGGACGTGACCCGAACTCTGTGACAGGGACGGACTTGCTAATTACAATCATAATGAACTATTAGATTTACTAAAAAGGTCATTAATAGATTGTTATATTATGAAATAAAATTAACTTGATTTTTTATTATCAAAAAGATACAACGACATTTTATGTTAAGAAAGTCAAAAAGTTCTTTAATAGAATATTTCACTAACGTTTATTTACTACGAACTACAATAAAATAATGAAATAAAATATTGTCAATCGAGTAAGGAATAGTCACTCATCATGTCTACGAGTATAATAATAGCAGCATGTGCGCAGACGAATACTGCAAATCAAACTAATACATAATATTAAAAATTAGTCAAAATGAGAAAATGCTCTTTTGTATTATAGTAACCTCAAAAAAAAAAGGTATATTAAAGCTTCTATCTTTAGGGATATTAATATTGATGATGTTATAATAATAATAATAATAATAATAATAATAATAATAATACTCTCCCTAATGTGTCACATAAATCTCTAGAAATGCATATTTCTGAAACTGGAAAACATTTTAAAATTTAAACCTAATAAAAGTCATTCGATCAATAGGAGTAGGCGATTATCGAAATAAATTATAAATCATTACAAGTATTAGAAATTAAAAATTTAAAAAAACCGACTTCAAAAACGTGCAGATGCCATCACCACATCTTAACCAAATTGATATGGGACCACCCATGAGGTACCCCCTTACTAACAAAAAAAGAATCATATAAATCGGACAAGGTGGTAAAGCATTATCGCTAAACATACATAAAAAATGAAGAGTTTGAGAATTTTCTCATGGACTTAATTATTATATTTTGACCAAATTTATATGAGACCACCCCTGAAGTACCCCCCTTCTAACAAAAAAAGAATCATTGAAATCGGACATCGCGTTAAAGCATTATCGCGAAACATACATAAAAAATGAAGAGTTTGAGGATTTTCTAATGGACCCAATTATTAGATTTTGACTAAATTTATATGGGACCACCCCTGAAGTACCCCCTTTCTAATAAAAAAAGAATCATTAAAATCAGACACCGTGTTAAAGAATAATCGCTGAACATACATAAAAAAAAAAAAAATATCGCGACGAATTGATAACCTCCTCCTTTTTTGAAGTCGGTTAAAAAAAAAAATATCGCGACGAATTGATAACCTCCTCCTTTTTTGAAGTCGGTTAAAAAATAATCGATTATTTTCGATCAATCGATAATTTTTAAGCAATCTATTTTTTTTTTCGTATTTCCTTCAAAATCTGTTATTCAATTATCTTTGAAAAACCGAAAATATTCCATTACTTAAAAATAATCAATTATTTAAAAAGCCGATTAACTGATAAATCGATTAAAAGAAAACCAAATTATCGATTATTTTAAATAATCAATTATTTTTGATCAATCTACTGTGATAATACTGTGAAATAATCTATTTTTTTCGTAATTCCTTTAAAATCGATCGAATAATAGATTATCTTCGAAATATCGAAAACAATCGATTATTCGAAATTAATCGCTTATTCGAAAATAATCGCAAATAGGTTAATTAAGAAGTTGATTCTACGATAAATCGGGTTTCCAATGAAATAACCGAATTATGGATTATTTTCAAAAAATCTATTTTCTGTTTTCGTATTTCCTTTATAATAAATTATTCGAATATAATCAATTAATCGAAAATAATCGCTTAATCGAAAATAATCAATTATTTAAAACTATTTGATTAATTAAAAATCTAATTAAACGATAAATCGATTTTTCTAAAAAAAATTAATTATTTTTGATTATTTTCAATCAATCAATTATTTTTAATAAATCTATTTTCTTTTTGTATTTCCTTTAAAATCGATTATTTCATGTTATTTAAAAAAACTAAAATAATTTATTAAAATATTGAAATAATCGAAAATAATCGAAAATATTAGAAAATATTCGATTAATTATAACAGATAAATCGATTTTCATAAAGAAAATAACAGAATAATTGATTAATCGTTCGCTTGCTTTTATCCAAGCATTTATCTCCAAAATTTAGAGATTCTAATTTTTTGATCCCGTTATCTTTAAGACCCCATTTGATTTGTAACCGACTTCAAAAAAGGAGGAGGTTCTCAATTCGTAGTAATATTTTTTTTATGTAAATATGTTCAGCGATAATTCTTTAACAGGATGTCCGATTTCAATGATTCATTTTTATTAGAAAGGAGGTGCTTCAGGGGTGGTCCCTTATAAAATTGCTCAAAATCTAATAATTGAGTACATGTGAAAATCCTCAAACTCTTCATTTTTTATGTATAATTATCGATAATTCTTTACTACCTTGTCCGATTTCTATGATTTTTTTTTGTTAGTAAAGGGTGGTCCCATATATAAATTTGGTCAAGATGTAGTGATGGCACCTGCAGGATTTTAAAGTCGTTTTGTTAAAATTACTAATATTACTTGAATAATTAATAATAAATATTGCAAGAATATAGATTTTCTAGTAAACAAATTTTGTTTCGAGTTGTTTAGGTCAAAGAATACATACCCAAGAAGCGAAACTGAATGAGTTTTTCTATGTACCAAAGTAGCAGCGACCTTGACGTAAATGGGAACTTAAT